CTGAGCCCTGACAGCCCTGCAGCTCCAGCCGTCTCTCGCTCAGGCTTGTGCGGTGCTGCCACCGGTTCAGCCCATTCCTCTCCCCTGCTATCCCTTTTCTAGGATGGTCGCGTACCACCTGCCAGGTGCCAATGTACCACAGGGGGTACCCGTACCACTGGTTGAAAAGCCTTGAGTTAGTTAGTTAGTTAGTTAGTTAGTTAGTTAGTTAGTTAGTTAGTTAGTTAGTTAGTTAGGCAGGCAGGCAGGCAGGCAGGCAGGCAGGCAGGCAGGCAGGCAGGCAGGCAGGCAGGCAGATTACTAGATGGATGGATAGATTAGTTAGATAGGTAGGTAGGCAGGCAGATAGACAGACAAACAGAGACAGATTACTAGATGGATGGACAGATTAGGTAGGTAGGTAAGTGGGTAGGTGAGTTGCATGGGTGGATGGATGGGTGGGTGGGTGGATAGATGATGGATGGACGGACGGACGGACGGATGGACAGACGGACAGACGGACAGACAGACAGATAGATATATTTTTTTTGTACATTTTTAGATTTTTCATCTAGTTCTTGTTTCCCGGCCTGTCCCTAAGATCGGAAGAGGCCTCCTGATCCATTGTTGGTCCCTCCGTCTGCATTCAATGTATGGATTTAGCACAATTATTCCCATTATGTGGATTCCCTGCTCTGCACCCAGCCTCATTTCCAGCCATTATTTGATCTCTTTGCACACTCACCACAATTAACTTTGTTTGTGTATTTTTGTCTTGTGGTTCTTTTTCTCTCTCTTTCTCTGTTCCTTCCTGGTCCCGTTTTGAGCTCAAAAGTTGGAGTTTTTGTTGCAAAATCCACACAAATCAACTGCTTCCTGGGGCTTCATGGACTGGCCCATAGATGTGTACCAGTTTGCAAACTGGGAGCAGTGTCCCCCCCCAAACAAGTGGGGTCTAGTATCCCACATTCTGGCTTGTTTTGCAGAAATCTTCAAAAAGAAAAAAAAAGATTTCAAAGTTTCCAAACTTTAAAAATCACCTCACATGTTTAGTAACTTCAATGAATCCACTCATTCCCCCCCCCAAAAAAATTTACAGGTAGTCCTCAACTTACAACCACAACTGAGCCCAAAGTTTCCAATGTTACTGAGACAGTTAAGTGAATTTTGCCCCATTTTACAACTTTTCTTGTTACAGTTGTTAAATGAATCACTGCGATTGTTAACTTACTCACATAATTGTTAAAGTGAATCTGGCTTTGCTGGTCAAAAGTTTGCCAAAGGGGATCACATGACCCCAGGTCGCTGCATCAGTCATAAGTGTGAGTCAGTTCCCAAGCCTCTGAATTTTGATCATGTGATCCTGGGGGCGCTGAAACGGTCAGTAACTGTAAAAACTGATCCTAAGTCACTTTTTTCCAGTGCTGTTGTATCTTCAAAGAGACACTAAATGAAATGTTGTAAGTCGAGGACTATCTGAAACTGGTCTCAGCTTTGCAGCAGTTTGGTCTAGAATAGATGACCTCTACGGTCCCAGCAGGTCCTCCTTCCTTATTCTTTGGGACCTCAAGCCCAGGCTTATGGAAATGGAGTCTTTAGGGTGTAGGTGATGCCTTTTCTTGGAGAGCTTCTGTCAGGGATCTTCAAACTTGGCTCTTTTATGACTTGTGGACTTCAACTCCCAGAATGCCTCAGTCGGCCATTTTGATGAAACTGCAGGCTTGGATCCAAACCAGGGGTCTTCAAACATGGCCCTTTTCGGACTGGTGGACTTCAACTCCCAGAATTCCTCAGTCGGCCATTTTAATGAAACTGCGGGCTTGGATCCAGACTCTCAAGGGTCTTCAAACTTGGCCCTTTTATGGCTTGTGGACTTCAACTCCCAGAATGCCTCAGTCGGCCATTTTGATGAAACTGCAGGCTTGGATCCAGACCAGGGGCCTTCAAACATGGCCCTATTATGGCTTGTGGACTTCAACTCCCAGCATTCCTCAGTCGGCCATTTTAATGAAACTGAGGGCTTGGATCCAGACTCTCAAGGGTCTTCAAACCTGGCCCTTTTATGGCTTGTGGACTTCAACTCCCAGAATGCCTCAGTCGGCCATTTTGATGAATGCGGGCTTGGATCCAGACTCTCAGGGGTCTTCCAACTTGACCCTTTTATGACTTGTGGACTTCAACTCCCAGAATTCCTCAGTCAGCGACGCTGGCTGAGGAATTCTGGGAGTTGAAGTCCACAAGCCATAAAAGGGCCAAGTTTGAAGACCCCTGGCTTCCCTAAACATAAATTCAGGGAAGGCTGAATTTCTTCGATCAATGGGCCAATGAACGACTCGGTCTGACTGGCTTGATAGATACCTGTCCATATCTAGATGGCAGATTCAAGGTCCAGGTGGCACCAGGTAAGGGAGGAGGAGAGGTAGGTAGCGGAGGGTTCAAGACACCAAGGAGCAGGGTGTCTTTTCACCTGGAGACTGAATCAGCACTTTCAAAGGTGAGAAGTGATAAGAAAAGATAAAAAAAAATAATCAGCAGGTCAGCAAAATCTTGTCTAAAAAAAAAATAATTGCAGCAATATAACCGTAGCTGTCCTGACCAGCTTGGCTTTGATTTTATTTCATTTTAATGCATTGCATTGCACTTCTGTTTAGTTTTGCTTTATGGCGTGGCATTGCTATTTATTTTATTCTATTTTTTCAATTTTTATTTATTATGTTCTGTTGTTTGCCTTTGTTTGATTTTAATTTATCTTAATCTTGTTTCATTTAGTTTTCTGATTTTTTTTAAATTTTATTTTCTTAATTGCATTTCATTGTTGTTTTGTTATCTTCTTTCATTATTTTATTTTATAATAATAATAATAACAACAACAACAAAGAACAACAACAATAACAATAACAATAATAATAAAGTTGGAAGGGACCTTGGAGATCATCAAGTCCAACCCCCTGCTCAGGCAGGAAACCCTATACCATTTCAGACAAATGGCTGTCCAGTCTCTTCTTAAAAACTTCCAGTGTTGGAGCATTCACCGTTTCTGGAGGCAGGTTGTTCCACTGGTTAATTGTTCTATCTCATTTGTTCTATCTCATTTCATCAATTTTTATTACATTATTATATCATTATTTATTTCATTTCATTTCATTTCAATTCAATTTATCATTTATTGTTTTTTTATTATTTTAATTTATTTCGATTATTAATTTGATTTGTTAAGAAGGCTTGCCTCCACAAAATCTTACTGGGGAGCAGGCAAGAAGATCCAAGGCCATTTTGGGGCTTCCTCTGTACCATAATTCCCAGCACAGAATGATGACCATCTAGGACAATCTTTTTCAAATTTGGCAATTTGGTGGACTTCAACTCCCAGAATCCCCCAGCTGGCATCCTTTAAGAGGGGTAGACTTCAACTCCCAGAATCCTCCAGCCGGCATGCTTTAAGAGGGGTGGACTTCAACTCCCAGAATCCCCTAGCCGGCATGCTTTAGGTCACATGATCAAAATTCAAACCTTTGACAAATAACATTTATTTTATGACACGTGCCACATCCCGGTGTTGCTTGATCTCCATTTGTGACAAGCAAAGTCAACAGAAGAAGCCGGACTCATTTAACAACTGCCCGATTCATTTAACAACCGCTCTGCTTCACTTAACAACCTTCACAAAAAGATTGTACAGGCAGGCCCGGTGAACCACCAATTCGCTTAAGAACGCAAATTCTGATCTTGATTTTGGTCATAAGTTTACAGACAAGTACATTTTGCTTGTTTGATTGAATAGATTTTCTCACTTAACTTATCGTGGTTTCTGATCAGGTAGGCTAGAATAAGGATATTTAAAGTATTTCTCCCCAGCGGAGTCTTGCAGCCAGCCACTCTATAAATCTTTTCGTCAGTGTGACACCACAAAAGTGGCTTTGATCCAAGACTTTTACGCCTGGGAAATTCAACACCTGAATTTTTTCTTTGGAAAAAAAAAAAATCTAGTTCGGGGTAGCAGAGAGTGCCCCATTCTCAGCCATTTCTAGCAAAAAGCCTAGGTGAATTCTTGACAATTGCTGAGTTGAAAAAACTCTTGGAATAAACACCTCTGCATTATCCGAGAGAAATTTAATTTAAAAAAAAAACTGAAAGAAAAATAAATAAAATATAACAATAGTCATTCCAAATAATAAATAAACGAACTGAAAAGAAAACAAAAAATAAATAAATTCAAGGAGCAGATGGACCACTAAGTCTTTCTTTCTGTTGTCAGTTTTCTATCTTTTTGTGGCTTAAAGTCTCAGCGTGGGGGAAACGGTGCAAAATTCCAAAAACAAAACTGCAAACGGCTAAACACAAAATTGCAACACAACATTCTTCATAAATACAGGTGTTCCTCGACTTAACGAAACCGCACTCGGGAGCAGAATCTACGTTGCTAAGTCGGGCAGTTGTGAAGTTCAGCTTTACTTTTCATGATCTTTTTTTGCCAGGATTGCTAAGCAAATCCATGATGTTATTAAGTGAATCACTCGGTCGTTAAGCGAATCCGGCTTCCCACATTGACTTTGCTTGTTAGGAGCCAGCTGGGAAAGTCGGAAAGGGCTGACCCCGGGACGCTGCAACGGTCGTAAATCCATGAGGTTGCTGAAACCCAAATTTTGATCCTACGACTGAGTAGGCTGCGATGGTCGTAGGTACGAGGACCAGTCGTAAGTGTGAGGACCGGCCGTAAATCCCTTTTTTTTCACCTCGCACAGTTGCTAAATGAACAGTCGTAAGCCAAGGACTACCTATATGTGCAGCAATGCTTTTCACTGCTTTTCATCTAAAAAATATATTCAGTATATATAACGGCCAAAGACTTAAAAGATGAGGAATGTGCCCGGGGGACGTCCCCCAGCGACATAACTCCGAAACCTGACCCTGCACGTAAAGTTGACGGAATTCAAGTCACTCCAGGCCTTCACAACCTGGTCTGTCTCGCAGCCAGAACAAACAATCTTTGTCTGACTGCAGGAACTGTGTACACTCCGAAGATGGAGAAAAGCGCCAGGGAACAGCCGGAGCAGCACGGGCACGTCAAATGCGCCCACGTACCCAGCAAGGAGGGGCCACTGTGCAGATTTTGGGGTCCTGCAGGGCTGGTTAGGCAGTGGGGAAGGATTCCTGGGCAGGTCCCAAGGACAGCGCTGGACATTCAGAGGTCCTCGCTTTATGACCGTCCATTTAGCGACGAAGTTGTGGCCACCACTGGAGGGAAAAAGGGACTTAAAATCAGGCCTTGCACTTATGACAGTTTCAACATCCTTGCACTTACAACCGTTGCAATATCCTTGCAGTTTGTATTATTTTACTTTTACAGGCAGTCCTTGACTTACAACTGTTTGTTTAGCGACCGTTTGAAGTTACAGCAGCACCGAAGAAAAGGATGTGACCGCTTTACACATTTATGTTGTATTATCCCCATGGTCACATCTAAAGGAGAATTCAGATGCTTGGCAGCTGATTCACATTTATGACGGTCGCAGCGTCCTGGGGTCACTTGATCCCCTTTTGCGACCTTCCAGCGAGCAAAATCAATGGGGGAAGCTGGGTTCACTTAATGACTGTGTGATTCATTTAACAACTGCAGGAACTCACTTAACAACAGTGACAAATAAGGACATGAAATCAGGCTCGACTCGCTTAAGAGCCGCCCCAGCTGTGGTCATAAGCCGAGGACTACCTGTAAGTCCTTCTATCAAAGGCTGGAAATCTCTTAGGGAACTTTGGCAGATAATGAGGGGGAAATGAAGAGGTGGCTTATGGGTTTACTAATTAAAAAAAGTAGAATAAGGGGAAAAAAGGGAAGTATGATACTGTATAATGTTACAGAGGGAGGTGAAATAGGATGTGTGGACTTCAGTACCCAGAATTCCCAGCCAGCATGCTTGGACTTCAACACCCAGAATTCCCCAGTCAGCATTCTTTGACTTCAATACCCAGAATTCCACTATTAGCCTGAGCAGGGGGTTGGACTAGATGACCTCCAAGGTCCCTTCCAACTTTATTATTATTATTATTATTATTATTATTATTATTATTATTATTATTATTATTATTATTATTATTATTATTATTAATTAACCTGAGTGGACTTCAGCACCCAGAATTCCCTAGTCAGCATGGACTTTGACAGCCAGAATTAGCATAAGTAGACTTTAATTCCCAGAATTCCTCAGTCAGCATGCTTGGACTTCAACACCCAGAAATGACTCTGCCGCAAGGAGAATTCTGGGAGTTGAAGTCCGCCCATCTTAAAGGGGCCAAGCTTGATAAATCCTGACTCAGCTAACCCTTCCTCTGGGACGGCCACCAACCAGGACGAGACAATCTCAGAAGGCCCTCAAGATCACCTCACGGGCTCAAGACCAGAGATCCTTCATTCCCCGCTATGCATTCTGGGAAATCTTGGAAAGCTCAGCTGATCCTCCACATTCCAGAGTTACAAATTTGGCTGAAAGTCTGCCTGCCCCCAATGCGTTCTACAGTACCGCCCTTCAGTGGCATGCACACAGAGGAGAAGACACTGGAGCACATCTGGCAGGTCATGTGTCACCCCCAAAGAATGCACCCTCCCCCCCCTTTGGACCCACAAAAAGCATCAACTTTCTGCTCAGCCAGAGCAAAATCCTTTGCCTGTTAAGAACGAGAGAAGGGTGCCTGTGTGTATTTTGAAAAGTGTCTTCTGAATAACAAGCCCCCCCCCGCGTGAGAATCTGGGTCTGCTTGGAAGGAACCTTGGAGGTCATCTAGTCCAGCCCCCCGCTCAAGCAGGAGACCCTATACCATTTCAGACAAGTGGCTGTCCAGCCTCTTCTTAAAAACCTTCAGTAATGAAGCACCCACAACTTCTGAAGGTTAGCAAAAGTGACTTTTAAATTATGTGTTGAACAGCCATATGGGCCCATATGGTTTCACTGAGCATGGGGGATATTTATGTGAAATAAATAGACATGCATGTGTGCTTTGGTCTCTGGTTGCACGGCCCCAGAAAAACATCTGTTGCATACATGAACATGGTTAAAATTTCCCAAGGGGATAATAATAATAATAAAAAAACCTGTGCAGTTTGGGAGGCCAGAATAAGTACATGCAGTTCTCCTCTTACAATCATTCATTTAGTGACCGTTCAAAGTTTACAACGGCAATGAAAAAAGGGACTTATGACTGTTTTTCACATTTACGACCGTTGCAACATTCCCATGGTCACGTGATCAAAATTCAGATGCTTGGCAACTGACTGGTATTTATGACAGTTGCAGCGCCCCGGGGTCACATGATCCCCTTTCATGACCTATCAAACAAAGTCAATGGGGAAGCCAGCTTCACTTAACAACCGTGTTACTACGTTAACAACAGCAGTGATTCACTTAACAACCTCGGCAAGAAAGGTCATAAAATGGGGCAAAACTCACTTAATAAATGTCTCGCTTAGCAATGGAAATTTTGGACTCAACTGTGGTCGTAAGTCAAGGACTGCCTGGGTATCGTAGCTGAATCTATCTCAGTGCAAGGAGACTGTGTTTGTGATGTCCTGTTGTGGAGACACACCAACGAGAAAGCAATGTAATAAATATTTCCCTGTCATTGTTTTCGCCCTCGCCAATCCCAGATCTGTCTTGTTCTCCTCTGACATTATCAGAGAAAGAACAAAAAGCGCCTGAAACTGTGAAATTCTATTTTTTCGTTAATTTTCTCTGCCGATTCTGCCAAAGGTGTAGGTTTTTCACTCAGGTTCCAATTTATATCATCCTGAGGTCACAAATATAATTCTAAATTCTGGCCTTCCACAAAGTATGTACAGGTAATTCACACTGAACCCTGGAGAGAGTGCCGTGTTTCACTTAACAACTGTGATGAGAAAGGTCATAAAGCAGAGCAGGGGTAGGCCACCTTGGCTCTTTTATGGCTCGTGGACTTCAACTCCCAGAATTCCTGAGCCAGCCATGCTGAGGGGAAAGGGAGAGGTTTCCAAGCTGAGCCATGCCGGCTCAGGAATTCTGGGAGTTGAAGTCCACGAGTCATAAAAGAGCCAAGGTTTTCTACCCCTGAAGCAGAGCAAAGCTCACTTAACCAAGGTCTCGCTTAGCGACGGAATTTTTATGGTCGTAAGTTAAGGACTTCTTGTAGCAATTTACTTCTTCTCATTTCAAATGAAAAAAAAAACAAACCAAAAAAACGAAATGGGAAATCTTTTGGCCTTGAACATGGATTTTTCTTTCCTTTTTATGAAAGCTCAAAATGGAAAATGGTGAAAAAAATGAGCCCGGGGCCTGTGAAACGTGGAGGGCGAGGAAGGTGAAACCATAAATCTATTTGCAGCAGGGATCTATTTGACAAAAAGGATCTGGATGCCTGGCTTTTAAAGGCTCCTGGCCAGAGGGCGCTGGGTGAATTTTAAGCAGGGATGCGGCAGAAAATGAAGGGATCTGGGAGATTTTCAAGGGGGCGCACGCAGGAGGCGAATTACAAGAGGGTTTTTTTGGGGGGGGGTTGTTTTGTACTTGGAAAATTGCAGAAATCAAGGGAGTGCAGAGGTTTTCGGAGTTGGCAAGTCAGATTCCCAGAATTTCCCAGCTTTAAGAGGGGTGGACTTCAACTCCCAGATTCAAGACTGCTGGCAGGAGAATTCTGGGAAGTTAAGTCCTTTCCCCTTCCCCTTTCTCTTCTCTTTCCTTCCTCCCTTCCCCTATTCCTTCCACTTCTTCCCCCTCCTTTCCTTCCTTCCTCTCTCTTTCTTTCCTTTTAGTTCCTTTCGTTTACATTCTATTCCATCCCTTCTTTTTCCTTCCTTCCTTCCATCTGTAATCCTCCCTCCTTCCTTCTTTTCCTTCTTTCCTTTTTCTTCCTTCCCTCCTTCCTTCCTTCCTTCCTTCATTTCCCCCCTCCCTCTTTCCTTCCCTTCCCTCTCCTTCCTTCCTTCATTTCCCCTCTCCTTCTCTTGCTCTCCCTCCTCCCCTTCCTTTTCCATAAAAATAAGATTGCCAGCCTTTTCTTCCCTTCCCTCACCTTCCCTCTCCTTTCCTCTCCTCTCCTTTCCTCTCCTCTCCTTTCCTTTCTTTCTTCTCCTTCCCTCTCCTTCCCTCTCATCTCCTTTCCTTTCCTTCCTTTCCCTTCCCTTTCCTTCCCTTCCCTTCCCTTCCCTTCCCTTTCCTTTCCTTTCCTTTCCTTCCCTTCCCTTCCCTTCCTTTCCCTTTCCTTTCCTTTCCTTTCCTTCCCTTCCCTTCCTTTCCCTTCCCTTCCCTTTCCCTTCCCTTCCCTTCCCTTCCCTTCCCT